GCTGTGAACGCTGTCATTGTCGAATGGCCCACTGTGCATGTAGTGTTGAAGATAACTTCGTCACTGATCATGGGTCTCAAAACTCAAAGCTCACTTCGCTCTGGCCTCTCCCTCTCTTCACCCGTCCTTTCCTCCATCAAGCGCCGCACCTCCTTGTTTGCGGCCTTTAAATGCCTGAATTCTGTCGCATCTTCTCCAAGGCCCCAGGCGAATACGCCACCAATCCTTCTCATGTCAAATGCAGTCTTCAATTTTCGCTCAATAGCCTCAGCTGTATCCCAGCTCCAGAACAACCTCTCTTCCTCGTCCCAGTAATAATGACCCCCACCAACCTGGTCATACTCTCCATGCTTCAACGCCTTGCTGAACGATTTCACAAGTTCCGTCGGTACCTCATCATGCCATGAGAAAGCACCCGCTTTCCCTAAATCTCCACCCGTGTCTGGGTCTTCCATGAGTTCGGTTTTGCACCCCAAGGGAGACTTATCACAATGTCCGTCTTCGGCAGTCTTGAACCATTTTACATAAAATGCAAGACCGAGATTGATCTTCTCAGCTGGAAACCCGCGCTCGATATACGCGTCAAGTGCTTGGACAGATTCAGCTAGGCCGGTATGATGTTTTGTAACGTTGTCCCTTCGGTTCATCAAATCATACGTCATGACGTTCAGAAAATCCACAGACTCCATGATCTTCGGTATAGTGGACGGATTGAATGCGATCATATCTCGTTGTAACCCAGGAACAGCAGCAGAGATTATCTTTTCCGGCCCAATTGCCGTTCTGATCTCAGCCAGAAGTTGCGCATATGCGTCTATTTCCCATTCCTTCTCTTCATTGGGATGTGTTTTGTAGTCTTCACCGTTTCCTCCAGGATACTCCCAGTCAACATCTACGCCGTCTGCGCCAGTCATTTCCAGCATCACGGCAACGTTCATTGCAAAGAGCTTGCGATTAGCTTCTGATTGTGCTGCACGAGAAAATGCGGTGGTATCACCCCAGCCGCCAATCGCGATCTGGATTTTAGTGTCTTGTGCGAATTTTTCACGTACTTTATCGACCGTGGTGAAAAGCGGCCACTCTTGTTGCCCAGGGTTGTTAAAGATAGATGTACTCATGAATGCGAGAGCCACGTGACTCACATCCGCAACCAGAGCTGGCTCGGGAACGAGGGGATGCTGCCTTCCAAATGTGAATCTTTGACCTTACATATACATCATACATGTCTTACCCAGTCAAGTACATGATATACTTCATGTGCGATTTTCCTGCCGTGGGCGACGTCAGGAAAGCTGACAGTATGATGGGTACTTGAAGCCACCTAGGGCGACACAACTTCATTTTGCAGAAACCAGTCACAAATGCAAACAATGTCTATGTGACGAGTAAGTAGACAAGCTGAATGGGCTGATAAAGAAGACTGCGAAAACAAGTGAGAAGCTCAGTTGACCCTGATCTAAGGTATATGTAATTCAGAATCTCGCTTACTGGGCACCTAGGTACCGGTACGGTAGTAGCTAATTAATACCTAAGCCGGCCCGAATATTTGTGAACGTCCTTGCATTGCTCCAAAACTCATCTTGAGATGATAGTATCACAGCTTACTATGTCTGCAATATATATACTATTTCGAGGAACATAACGATTCACTATTCCGTAAATCCGTTACTTTATGAAATCATCATGACGTCTCGTAGCAAACTACCAGATTCTCAAAAATACGAGTCTCCGCTGCTTTCTCCACGATGCAATAGTCCTACCTCTGCGATGCCGCAGTATCTACAATCGGACGTTTTGAATATCCGTCGATAGCCTTGGTGTGCCCATGGCCCAAGTATGTTACGAGAGTCATTGA